ATATTTTTAGTTGTCCAATTAATTTCTTTCTAATTTTAGTAGAAACGGGGTCTCGCTCTTGCTCAGGCTGGTTTCGAACTCCTGAGCTTAAACAATCCACCCGCCTTGGCCTCCCAGAGAGCTAGGATTACAGGCGTGAGCCACCGTGCCCGGCCGGGAGCTGATTTCTATTAGGTGAAAGGTCTGCTAATTTTCGCAGTATGTAATTAAGTTAGCCAAAAGGTCTTCCATTCAAAAATTACATGATTTAGTTAATGGAATTGGGGATATAGTCTTTTGTGATTAAAATGTCTTGCTGAATACACTGTCTCTGATTTATTAAGTAATGACAAATATTCCTTACTTTTGTTTTACTTCCATAATGTTTACATAGAGAGGAAATGAATCTAGAGGTCATCATTTGACTTACCAATCTATTTGACTTTGGGATTTGGTACATGGAATTCCATTTAATCTTTTTGATATGTATAATACAGATATTCTCGGTAATTGTTTTTACCCTTTTGGTGTTGAATCCTTTTTCTTCCTTTCATATTGACATTGGTAAATTAATTTTCCTTTGAAATATTCTTTATAGCCAGGTTTAAAATTCAATGGCCCGCCACCACCACCACCACCACCACCACCACCACCTCCCCACTTCCTGTCATGCTGGCTGCCTCCACTTCCTTCTGGACCACCGGTAAGTACAAAAGAATTCAGATTAAACTTTGCTTTCATATATAGGATTTAGCAGAATATAGGGGATTGCACAATGTCAATTTAGACCATCCCTAGGGCCAGATTCTAATGAGTGAAAATTTGAATTTAACCTCTGGTTTTTTGTTTTAATGCTCTTCTGTTACTCAGACACAGTGCTCTTGTAGCTCCAACTCTGAGCTCTATATTGCCTGATTCTTTCCTGAGAGAAATTGCCATGTATCTGTCTATAGGGAGGTCATTCTCATTCTAAAGAATTTATTAATGTTTTGCCCTGCCATCTATACTTGGATGTCAGCTTCTGATCATGTAAAGTGGATTTCTCATGGTATATTTTCAGGCATTAACAACAGATACAAAGATACTTTTTGCAGATTGTGTATATTGGGGTGGGGTTAGGGCAGATGGTCTGCCCAAGACCTTTATTAATATAGTCCTTGAAATGAATGCTGTGTGTGTGTGTGTGTGTGTGTGTGTGTGTGTGTGTGTGTGTTGGGAAAAAACATGAAAGTATGCTTGATCTTTCATTCATACCTTCATAATGGAACAGAAATGTAGTCTAATTAAATAAAAATGTATAAACATTTTAAGTCACCTATTGTCTTTTAATCCTTGTTGAATTTTATTGGTCTTTTCTTATTATTGGTTGGCTTTTTCCAGATGTTAGATTTTTTTAAAAATTTAAATATGAGATGACATGGGATGTAAGAAAAAATACAGTTGATATCTAGCATTCTCTATGTAATAGTGAATGTCCAGAATTCACATTTTTATTTTGGGGGGTGTTTTTTTTTTTTTCTTCATTTTTTTTTCTTAGCTCCACCCCTGCCCCCACCCCCACATTTTTATTTGTTGG